TTAATGGGTTCCTAATGCTTAATTTTAGGTTAGACAACAAATGATCAAATTAGGGAATTAGGAACACAAGGTTATGACCACACACCATGGCTTAATCATACTTTAGCTAGAATCAATCCATTAATCTAAATTGAACTTGGGAACTTATTTGCTTGAGTTACTTATTTCTTTCTTCCTTGTTTTATGTTCTTTGTTTTTGTTTCTATTTTGTGTAGGGAAACTAAATTGGATCATTCAATCACCAATCCCTGTGGAATCGACCTCGCACTTACATATGCTATACTACCAACGGTTCGTGCACTTGCGAGTATCACAAGTTGAGGATGCAGCTTAATCCATTTTGGTGGAGCTAAATCTACGCAACAGAGAGCATCTGAAAAACCTATCGCTCATGTTCGGCATCTTGAAAGATTACCGAATGAGACTTAACCCGACGAAGTGCGCCTTCGGCGTATCTTCTGGGAGATTCCTCGGTTTCATGATCAGCCAGAGGGGCATCGAGGCTAACCCCGACAAAATCAAGGCCATAATCGACATGGAGGTACCGAAGACACAGAAGGACATCCAGAGCCTTACCGGACGAGTGGCAGCCCTCACTCGCTTCATCTCAAAAGCCACAGACAAATGTGCACCGTTGTTCAAAGCCTTGAAAGGGGGCAAACACCATATAGAGTGGACTGCCGAATGCGACAAGGCGTTTCAAGACTTGAAGGACTATATGGGCAGAGCACCGCTACTTTCCAAACCCATCCCTGGGGAAATACTCTCCTTATATCTATCGGTATCTGACACTGCCGTCAGCTCAGTACTGATACGGAACCCTGAGAAGGCGGAGCTATCGATTTTTTACGTCAGTAAGGCCCTTCAGGGGGCCGAGTCTCGGTACCCCCCACTCGAGCAGTTGGCTTTGGCCCTGGTCGTTTCTGCCCGGCGGTTGAGGCCCTATTTTCAGGCCCACACCATCATCGTTCTGACCAACCAGCCCCTTCGGCAGGTTTTTCAAAAACCAGAAACATCCGGCAGGCTGGTGAAATGGGCGATCGAGTTGGGAGAGTTCGACGTACAGTTCAAACCCAGACCTGCGGAGAAGGGACAAGCCGTGGCAGACTTCATCGCTGAACTGACACCTTCGGATGCTTTTGAACCTAAGAAAACCCCTCCACAGGAAGGCCTACCGAACGGCAGTCGTCTCGACCAGTCAACTCCTTTCTGGATCCTACACGTTGATGGCTCGGCAAACCAACAAGGGTGCGGAGCCGGTCTGGTGCTCACCGCTCCCGATGGAGCCAAAATTGAATATGCCATCAGGTTTGGCTTCCGAACGTCCAACAACGAAGCCGAATACGAGGCACTTTTGGCCGGCCTACGGCTCGCCAGAAGCATGGGGGCCATTCAGATCAGCATCTACAGTGACTCGCAGCTAATAGTGAACCAGGTGACTGCTAATTTCGCAGCAAAGGACGCATCAATGACGGCGTACCTCACGGCAGCACACCAACTGCTAAAGAAGTTCCAAGCGTACGAAATTCGGCAAATACCAAGAAACGAGAACAGTCATGCCGACGCCCTCGCTAGACGCAACAACACATGGATGTCGCCTATTCATGCTTACCTAACAAACGGCACCCTCCCTGAAGACAAGGCCAAGGCCAGACAGCTGCGTTACCGCTCGACAAGGTACATTGTCATCAACGACATTCTGTACAAACGTGGCTACTCGACCCCCTACATGAAATGTATCACCGAAGAGCAGGGTGAATATGTCCTTCGGGAGATCCACAGTGGTGTCTGCGGCGATCATTCCGGTTCTAGATCCCTATGGGGACTTGACCTAATCGGACCAATGCCGCAAGGCAAAGGACAGGTCAAATATGCGATCGTTGTCGTGGACTACTTAACGAAATGGGTTGAGGCTGAAGCCCTAGCCACCATAACAGCAGCGAGGGTCGAGGAATTTGTCTGGACCAACATCTGTTGCCGCTTCGGCATCCCCTACGCCATCATCACTGATAACGGCAGACAGTTCGATTCGGAGCTCTTCAGGCAGTTCTGCACTCGCCTCTAAATCAACCTGTTCTTCGCCTCGCCAGCTCACCCACAATCGAACGGCCAGGTAGAAGCCGTAAATAAAATCATTAAGAAACTCTTGAAACGGCAACTCAACAGTGCCAAGGGCGCTTGGCCGGAGAAGCTTCCCGAAGCTCTGTGGGCCATACGAACATCTTACCGAACCTCCACAGGGGAAACTCCCTTCATCCTTGCATTCGGCTCAGAGGCCGTTGTCCCAGTTGAGATCGGTGAGTCTTCTTACCGAACGGAAAGCTTTGAGCCAAAGGCTAACGAGGCGGCACTCGCGTTGAGCCTGGATTTAATCGAGGAACGCCGAACGGTAGCCAACCTTCGGAACGAAGCTTACAAACAGCGCGTCTCTCGGTACTACGACTCAAGGGTCAAATCGCGCTCCTTCAGAATCGGGGACTGGGTCATGCGCATGGTTTCGCTTGCAACCAAAAACCCAACGGAAGGAACCCTCGGACCTTCCTGGGAAGGACCCTATGAAGTCATCGGCATCCTTCGATCCGGCACCTACAAGCTCCGAGGCACAGATGGGAAGACCCTCGGTCACCCATGGAATGTGGACCATCTCAAGAGTTATTTTAAATAAAGCCCCCTAGCCAACGGCAGGGAGGAATTTGTATTTTTGCCTACGACACTTATATATAAAATGAGATTATTCAGAGTTGCATATGTTTGAAACATTATAGCCTAAACGGCACCTTTTTCAAACAAATAAAAATGTTTCGGTAGGGCTCATTAGTTACGAGCCACAGCAACATTGCCTACGGCAATCAAAAGCTACGCTCTTTATTTTAACTACCGATTCAGAGATGCCTTGACCATTTTTTACAATTTTTTGGCAACAAGCATTGGGTACGAGCCAACGGCAGTACCACGCTCTGGAATTGCCTACGGTATTCTCATCGAGCAGACTACAAAGCTATTCGGTATTCTAGACTTGCCCACGGCATCTCCATGGACGAAAGGCTATTGGGACCTTGTTCCTACCGATGCGCGTGATACTTGGGTTCTAGCAAATAGGTATGAGCCAACGGCAGTATCACTACTTGGGTTTATCTATCGAAGGTTGGGACACTTCGCTAATCCAAGGCAAGTAAGCTCCTAAGTGGCCAACGGCCCAAACAGTTATTATCCTAAGCAGTTATTAACCTACGACAGTAACAAGCATGGAAAGAATTCAAACCAAAGACAAGCGAAAACGCACTGATTTGAAGAGAAAAATAACTTGAATTGAAAAGATGCCCTCGGCATCAATGTGTTCAGAAATTTTGCCAACGGCAATTAAAAATACGTAACGAAACTACAAAAAACAATAGCTCAGGCCTCGGCAGTCCGATCTCCCTAGTTATCAGCAGTCTTGACCACGACGTCAACGGTGGCGTCAGGGGCACCCTCGGCATCAGGACCATCGGCATCTTCGGGGGCATCCTCCCCCTCATACTCCTCGATCATCTCTTCTGTAATACCTTCCGATAGAGGAGGGGGATCGGCAGCAAAATTCAGGTTTAGCTTCTGGCCTGGGTTAAACCGTTTGAAACGGTAGATGAGGTCCGCCATCTCGGCAGCCACTTCATTGTCCACCAAAGAAGTGAACTCAGTGGAGGAACGGTAGTTCCTAATCGCCTCACCAACGGCAGCCTTTATCTCCGCTGCCTTCGACCGCTCAGAAGCCTCGAGCGCCGCCTGCACAGCCACCTTGGCACCCTCGGCATCCCTAACGGCCTGCTCCGCACCGTCCAGGGCCTCGCGCATCTCGGCAAGTTTCGCCTCGTGCGCCTGGATCTGCCGTTCGGCAGCATGCATATCCTCCACGAGATGGGCGTGGTCCTGGAGAGCCTTCACAGCATCGGCAACCTTGGAGCGGCCGTCCTCATAGAGCCGTTTCGCGCGTTCGGCAGCTGTGATGGCCCTCTTCATGCACAGCCACATGTCCATCGACGCCTGAAAAAGGAAGCCACAAGTCAGTACCGAACGAAAGATAACAAAAACAAAAACACAATGGGAGTCAAAAGTTTACCGAGGCCTGGAGACGGAAGGCGCGCCCCGCCTCTTCCCGAAGAGCCCTCTTCGGCAGATCGTCGATTTCAGACAGATCCATCTGCGAACCCACGATCATGTGGTTCGCAAACTGAACTGTCTTGGATGGACAGCCCGAAGAGCCCTATTCGGTAGCTCATCGATCTCAGACAGATCCATCTGCGAACACACGATCATATGGTTCGCAAACTGGACCGTCTTCGATGGGCAGGCAAGTGTGACCGCCTTGGTAGGCCCCTCATCGTCCTCAGCAGCGAAGACGGCCCTCGACAGATCAGTAAGCCGCACTCTTTTGGGAGTTGAAGCAGCATCCAGGTCCACCGTCAACGGCCGCTTCCCAGAAGCTTTAGAGGTGGCCGCCTCGGCACCCCGCCTCGGACTGATTACCGGTTCTTCCACCGGCACCCTTCTGCTGAAGGGCTCGGTATGGCGCTGCCTGTGCCGTTCGGCAAGGGGCTGCTCCTCGGGGACTGCCTCTGAGACCCTCTCGGCAGAAGCCTCTGGCTACTGTTTCTGCTTCTTCCCCTTCGCGAGCACCTGGAGGCGCCGCTTCGAGGTCTCTGACATTTTCTTAGCCTCGGCAGTCTTCCTGGCCTCTGACACTGCAAGAACGGAACGGTGGAGTTAGCCGAAGAAGTAAAAAAAATATATATATATATAAAAATCTCAAGTGAACTTACTCTCGGCAGGGTTCGTAAGACGGGCTCTGATGAGGTTCTCGGTGAGGAGGAACTGTGGGTATTCCCTGTCACCAGCAGGAACTTTCAGCCTAACCTTGTCAATCTGCCGAAGTTCTGATTGGGTTGCCGTGGGCTGCTTCAGTTTGCCTGCAAAAATAAGGAAGTTAGGTTAGTCCACAAAACAAAAACAAGTACCCTACCGATCGGCATGGTAAAGACCTACCGGCAATCTGAAAGGTGGTGGGAATATGGAAGCGCACGGGCACTCCCGAGGACGATTCCCAATCGCCAGAGAGGAGAACCCGCCAATTCCTCCAGGACTTCTTGGAGGTTGGCACGACCGTAAGAAAATGGCCCTTTTCGGAAGCCTTGAGACAGTTCGCCTGAACCCAGCCACCATGATCGATACTCTTGGACTTGGTGATGCTGTACAGATGGGAGAACTGCTCGTATGAAGGCCCCTCCTCATCGGCAAGTCCGAATGCCGTTACAACCCCCATTAGAACGGCCCAGAAATTCGGATTGAATTGCCCTGGGGCATACCCAATCTGAGCCAGGATCCGTTGAACTGGAGGCTACAACGGCAGCCTAACGCCCTGCTGAAGGACGTCGGTGAAGAACGTAACCTCACCATCCTTGGGGTTGCTCAGGGATTCGGTAGGGCCTGGGATCCTCATCCCTACCGAATGGGCCTACCGAATGGGGAATCATATACTCCGCCCTAATCTTTGCCAGCTTTCGGTAGATCAGCTTGTTGGGCGGCAAGTAGTCTACATCAAAGAGCTGCTCCCTCGCTACCCCTATCGGTACCCTTTGATTCCCGCTGTTCACTATTGTTACCCTCGATAGGGTAACTGGCTCGGAAGACTCTTCACGGCCAGAGGTGGAAGCCTCCTCATGGTGACTAGAAGATGCCTCCGGCATCCGAGCGTCTTCCACCTGAGGTTCGGGATGCGGGCCCAGCCCAGCTTGACCACCGACGCTATACACAACCGCCAATGGTAGGGGCTGACTAGTCATAAGCCCCTTACCGATCCCATGAGTGGGCGCAGGTCTAAACCTCTCGCCAACAACCTCAACCTCAGAGTCGCTATCACTCTCGGTATCTTGGCCCATCTCCTCACTTTCGGTATCCCTTCGCCTATCTGGAGACTCCTCCTCAAATGCGTTGGGCTCACTCTCGAACCCCGACTCGCTATCAGACATCTACAAAGACAACGGAAGGAAACTAAGGGCCATACAAGGAGCTATCTTACCGATGCCTACGTCTCTACCTATGGCAACTAGACTACCAAACCACACCCCACTTGCATAAAGTTCTAAGTCTAGTTCAAACCATGGAAGGACGTATGCACAATGAAAGAAAAAATAGCAAGGTTACCGAACGGTACCTTGTG